CCCAGTTTAAATCCCAACTCAAAACTCATGTGTTCAAATCTGCATATTCACTGTGAATCCACTGTTTGTTCATTTTATCTTGTGCTTTATTTTATTGTTCTTATTCTGCCATTGTTTTACTAAGTGTTTTATCCTATTGTAAAGTGTCCTTGAGTGACTTGAAAGGCGCTCATAAATAAAATTTATTATTATTATTATTATTATTATTATTATTAACACCACCACAACTAAGACTTGTAATATCCTAGAATTATAAAAGAAACAAACAGAACCTCGAACTTAAACACATTAAGTAAAGAACTCAAAACAAGTATCGAAGGCAAACAGTAGACAGTTAGATCCTGACTGGTCCTGTCTCAGTATTGGAGATAAGTAAGTAATTTTGCCACCTTTGTGCCACATGAATGCATGCTTGTACTTCTCTAACTTTGGAAATGCACATGGCTGGATCATAGATGAATATTTGTTTTCCCAAAAAGGAGTTCAAATTGCACATGTATAAGCTGCACAGTATAGCCTGCCTATGTGCAACAGCTGTGCTTTGTGGTCATTTCTTTTGTCCTGTCTTCCTCCCCTCACCACCAACCGGCCCCTCCCTGTGCGTGGTTCTGCCAGAGGTTTCTTCCTGTTAAATATACGTTTTTCCTTCCCACTGCCACCAAGTGCTTCCTCATAGAGGGTCATCTGATTGTTGGGTTTTCTCTGTATTATTGTAGGCTCTTTACATTACAATATAAAGCATCTTGAGGCGACTGTTGTTGTGATTTGGTGCTATACAAATAAAACTGAGCTGAATTGAATTTCTGTATTATGTGAGCTTCATCAAATGATTACATTGAGTTTAAGGAAAGAAGGAAAGGTTTCCAATACATACTGTGTCAACAAAAACTAAAGTTTTCCTTGGACATTTTGGCACAATATGAATGAATTTACGCAGGTAATACATTAAACCACAGTGTGGACTAGCCCCTCAAAGTACTTTTTCCATCCTTTATCATCCCTTCACTCATAAGTACCTTTCCATCTCTATCCTTGAGCTTCCTAACCTGCTGCACATCCTTTCCAGCTTGATCTCTCTGCTTAGCCAATCAATACAAGTCCTTTTCCTTCCTTAGTGTCCAGCCTCACATAGAACTCACTACAAGCCTTTTCCTTTGCCTCTTCTATTATCTACACATAGCCAGTAGTCCTGCCTAATGTCTTCATCAATCTGACAATCTAACTTTTGCTTTGCTAACCTCTTCCTTTAAATGCTTTCCTATACTTCCTCATTCCACTGCACTTACAGACAACACTACAGCCAGGAGGTGTTGGTTAAAAGTGTTTATTAGAGCTTAAAAGTGAATACATGCATAACTCCTAATATGCACTATGATCCAGAAAGCATTAAGTTTAAAAGGTTTATCACAATGTGCTCTTTCTGTACTAGATTGCAATTTTTTTAAGATAAAGCAAAAGAGGACCAACCTGCATGCACAATCTTACCCTAATGAACATTTTGCTGTTCGTCATGTTAAACAATCCCACCTGTCATAAACTGACCCACCAATTTCCAATTCAAGGACATTAGAGTTAAATCAGGGCTGCAACAGAACTGGAGGAGCAACCTCATCACCTGTGATTCACCTATGGCCCAGGAAGAACAGAGCTCCACCATCTGAACACAGCAGATGGTAAAGACTGAAAACCAAGTGACCAGAGGTACAGGCACCTGACCTATCAGAGCAGGCGCTCAGTAATGCCCACTCTGGCACAAGCAAAGAACATCTGGCATAAGAAGGATTAAGGCTGGGGGGAAAGAGAGAGTCACGGGGACATGGGACATGAGACTAACAATGAGATTGGCTCTCAAGAAGAAAAAATGGCTTGATGGAGTGGAGACAGAGGTGAGGAAAAGGCAAAATGGAGAGTTTTTAGAGTTTTTAAGAGCATTAAAGCCAGAAATCACACCAGGGTGAGCAATCATCAAAAAGATAGAAGAGATAAGAAAGAGTATCCTAAAATAGGAGGCTCTGTAATCCTCGCTGCAGCATTTTCGCCCTCAGCAGGACGTTCATGCTATGTTGGCTACCGTACGGACCCCTTCCCTCCTTTGGCAACACACTCAGAAACACCCACACACACACTGTCCACTCAGCACTCTAAGCATATCCCACAGCCACATGCTGAGGGGATCTGTTTCATAACAGGACCCTTTGTCTCCCTCTCTGTCACACACACTCTGTGCGCAATGGAAGACGAGAAAACGCACACAGGCGCGGATGCCCTACCGTTCGGGGATGAGGGCAGGTGTGTTCAAGCTCCTCCATTATTCCCAAAGACTCATGGGATGCAGCTGTGGTCCCTCTGATATGTGACTCAGCATCAGTGAAACGATGCCTCTCCTCACCACTCTGTCTCCTTCCTCTGTTCCCCCGCCCACTCTCCGCTCTGCCTCTCTGTCTGTCCTCTCCTCCTCATCTGATCCTCTCTGCTGCAGAGACGCAGACTCATGGCAGAGGCCTCACTCTGACTATTTTTTGGAATAAAAAAATCTGCCTTCCGCGTTTTAATAGCAATTTAAAAAGCGCCAAGCGCCGTCTGTTAGATCACAGTTATATTCCCGTTAGTCTTGCGCCATATTAAAGCTTTAACATAAAACACTTCTCCGAGTTAAAAGGCTTTTAACCCTGTCTGCTCAGGGGTGCCCCTTTAGGGTATACGGGAAACACCAGAGCACTCTTCTTTTGATTGCTTGACTCTATGTTGAAATCCTCACATGGGAAAACATATTTGGCACGACCTGTCTGTTTATTACTGTGTACTAACAAATGAGCACAGATTCAACCCAAAACAGTGAGGAGATGAATTAAGAGATCACACTGGCATCTTTTCACGAGCCGCGAGTGAATCTGTGTCTGCGTAAACGATCTCTGCGCGCCGAGGAGCTTTCTCCATGGCGACGGAAAAGAGGAGAGAGAGCTCCATGAGGTAGCCAATGAGAGAGGACCGCCAGTATACCCGGTGAGGATTGGTTGAGCAGGCCATAGCACCATCAGTGAAAAATGGCACTGAGTGGCACCGTTATCCGCCAAACACTGATTTAAATAGATGTATGTGGGTTTTCACGTGTCTAGTGTATGTGCTTATCTTTGTGTGAGATTTGTAAACAAACACGATTGTGGGAAAGAAGAAGCTAAAAAAAACTGTGCTGACTAGTTTAGTATCCCTCATTGCATAACTTAAGGTAGACCAAGCACCTATAAAGTACAGCAGTGCATTTGACTGTAATATGATCGTCGTATTTTAATATTTGGAGCATTTTCTTTAGGGTTAGATTCCGACCACTCACAAAAGTTTACCCTCCAAGCTAACGGGCAAAACTTACCCCCGCAAATCCCCACCAAAAAGAAGAAGAAAAAAGTCAACAAATGGAATAGGCATATAAATTGCGCATAAAGGAACAATTATTTTAATGTCTATATAGGGATGTCTTACCTTTAGAGATCCTCTTCTGCGACAAAAAGGCGCGACAGGTGCGCAAGAGGAATGCGCTCTGACGCGTCGTTGTTTCACCATGGCGGAACAAACAAAATATCACAATCAGACTCACTTTTTCTCTGCTTTGCTCTTTATAAAGTGAGTGAGCTGCGCAGCGGCAAAAGTGCAGCAGAGCAACAGCAAGCTGTTTGTCTACTCTGACCAAAGGACGCATCAGCTGCTCAGCGCTGATGAGCAGCGACAACTGTGGGCCATAGTCGATATAGCAGAGCTTACGGTAGACTTCCTCAGATTTGTACCTCAGCAAACGGCCTAATTCATGCAATCTGCAACTTCTTACCCTAATGAGAACAAGGGGAAAAAGCGTAATGTTGTAAAGACAAAAATAAGATGAATACTACAAAGAGCGTTTCTATAACCTGGAGTGTACTGTGCAGTCCTCCGGAACCTGGCGGAGTAATCACTGTCTTTTAATGTATAGAAAGCCGAAATAAGCTGTGTGAATGAAGGACAAAACACGCTTTGTGTTCTCATTATTGGACGCACTGTGTCTCTGTGGCCCCAATCTGGGACAGGAATCTATTGTCCTCTCCATGGACCGGTTTGGTTGCTGTGGAAACCAGCTTCACTGGGGTAGCCAGGCTTTGAAAAACATGGCAAAATAATGGTCCCAGTTCTAAAAATCCCCGGATTTATAGAATGGTTTAAAAGTTTTTTGTTTTGTAAATTTATATTGTTCTTGTTTTGTTTCTTTTAGTCAAATTGCGATGCAATTTTATTAAATAAAAAGAAATAAAAAGTCACTATAAACTCGTTTGAACCTCATACAATATTTTGGCTAATATCATATAAATTGACTTTTTGAGACCACTTTTGACACATTTTTTGCTCAGAAACTTTCTCTGATTTGCATTTTAAACTTCTTTAAGTTACATAAACGTGGTTTCTGTGTAAATTCTGAAAACGGTCGAAATTGTGAATATATTTTCAGCGCATGCTCTGTTTGCCACATCGCGCCAGACCTCAGTAATCACACACACTTACCTGCCAGATAAATGTAATCAGGTAAAAAGGGGAGAAGATAGGGCGCAGCCCGTAGGGATTGTACAACACTGCCACCTTGCGGACAGAGGTGAGATAGCGTGCCAGTTTATTGGTTGGGCGCTCTGTCGTCACTTCCGACATATGACTTTCCCCGGGAAGACGATTTGGCGCGAGCTGTTCTGTTGTTGTGTTGACCTGCCATAACCGTACGAATAAATAAGACAAAACCCCCCACTTCTCCCCATGGCTCCAGTGTCAAACCCTGAGAAAGACATGGACGCTCCGGACGGCGGTGAGTTTTGGGCCTCGCACTTCTGTTTTTGTTGACTTTTGGCGACATTGCGGTGGCAAAGCGAAGAAGCTAGCTGACACGTTAGCTAGTTCAGATTATGTTAATACGCCTGCTATCAGGCTTCGCTCATTAACACCCAAAGTGCCCACCGTTGTCTGCTTGCCAGCGTTTTCCACTGTAAAGGGAGTATTATTAAGGTTCAAGCAGGAGGACATGAAGGTAGCTACCAGAAGAGCGTTGATGCGAAGGTCTGTTAACTTCTGTGGCGCTTCGAGAACGACAAAAATCTATATAATGACCACCAGTAAGTCTGCAGACGTTTAAATTGAATGGTAAAAGAAACACAGGGTTCAGGTCGATCTGGCATGTGTGTATTATATGTTTGAAGAAACGAGTCAAACGGTCCTTCCTTATACTGCGTTGTCTTGACCCTCTCCTCAGACGATGGAAGTGAAGCCTGTGGTTTGGCGAAGACTCGCTCCAGACGGGAGAAACGGGAGAAGGTGGGGAGGAAGTCCGCACTGGAACAGCTCAAAAAGGCTAAGATGGGAGAGAAGATCAAGTATGAGGTATGTAAGGCAGCCATATCACTGGTTCCTGGTTTAAGGTGTGTGAAGAATGTGTTAAATTGCATCAAACACCTGTTTTAACTGTGTCACTGTGGCTTAATAAACAAAGCTGGTTAAGTCTCTCCATACTTCCTTTTACAGCATCTGTTTTTCACTCATTAAAATGATTCATGCTTTTCTCTATCCTAGGATGCTGTATGCAGGTGTCATTTCACAGTAGTACACCTGTGTTTTAACCAGTGTTGTGTTTTTCAGGTGAAGGAGTTCAGCAGTGTGTATGAGGAGGTGGACGAGGATGAGTACTCAAAGATGGTACGAGAGAGGCAAGAGGATGACTGGATTATTGATGATGGTTAGTGTCAGTTACCTCAGCCTGCTGTAGGAATATTTATACTGTGCCAACGTCACAATTGTTTTATTACCTCTCCTTTTTTTCCTTTTTTTTTGCCAGATGGAACAGGATACGTGGAGGATGGACGAGAAATCTTTGACGATGATTTGGATGATGATGTAGTGGAAGACAAAAGGGGTAAACACAAGGAGTTGATTACATTTTCTGGAGTAAGTTGTCCAGATCAGGTGCATGAATAGGTTTTGTTTGTTTTATCAGGAAAAGGAGGCGCCAAAGGAGCTGACTCAAGGAAGAATGTGAAGAAATCTGTCGTAGCCAAACCCAACAGCATTAAGAGCCTATTCATGAACAGCAACGTCAAGAGGCCTGCTGAGGTATGTGTTTGTTAGCATCTTTGATTTGCTTCTGTGAAAAATGCCCCGTGCAGTCTACATGTAATGATTTCCGTGCCTGCATGGTGCTTTGGATATTCCAGTCAATGTAAAGCTTAACAACATCCAGCTTTTTTATTTTTATTTTTTTTGTCGTTATGCATTTGTCAGATGTTTTTGTACTTTTGTCTCTTACAGAAAGATGTGGATCTGTCCAAAGATGACCTGTTAGGGGATATCTTACAGGACCTGCACTCTGAGGTTGGTAATTCTTCATTTAAACATGTGATAGTAGTCTGTAGTCAAGGCGTTTTCATCTATTAACCACACTTGAGATTACACATACTATTCTAAAACCTGCAATGTTTTATTATGTTTCTTTTCTCACCATTTTTTACTTTTCTCCTGTTTGGGCATGATGACATATTCCCTAATACGTTTTTTTTCTTTTAAAGGCTGTAATTTCTTTCTTTTGGTGTCTTAGCCTTTGTTAATGTGGCTTTTAAAATATGCTCTGTCTTTCCAGAAACCAGCTCTTCTGACTCCGCCACCTGTGGTGACTCTAAAGAAAAAGAAATCTGTGGGATCACCTATGAATCCCTTCTCTATCAAACCTCAGTTGCCAAAGGTAACTCGCTCCACCCTCCTAATCAAAGCATATTGATTAGCTCTTTAGACATGTTTATAAAGTGGCTTACCTGAAATTATAACGAATCATCATCCCTTTGATAGCAGGACTCACCCTCAGCTGCTGGGGTAAAGGCAAAAGTGATTCGAACGCCACCATCACACTCTGCCCCCAGGTCGTCAGTCCGTCCTCCTTCGTCCACATCTGCTTCTCTTGTGGCAAAGCAGAAGGTAAAAGTGGAAGAGCTGAATGAAGAAGACAAGAACGAAGAAGAAGGTAATGAAGATGGTTTCTAATCTCTTGCCTTTTTTTTTTTTTTTTTTGCTTTGTGAAAAGTTTATGCACTAACTTTACATTTTAACACGTTCCTCAGTGAATGATGCCATGGCATTTGATGAGATGGACTTTGATGAACCGATGGAGGTTGGCCTTGAGGAGGAGGCCCCTGTAGTGAAAGACGATGCGGAGTCTAAACATGAAGTAGCAGCAGTGACTGCAGTCAAAGTTGAGGCCAAAGCTGAACCTCAGGATCCAGTCCTCATGTGAGTTTTTCATGCCTTTAGTTCAGCCTCATTTTATTTCCCATAGTTGTAGTTCTATGGGTTGTGCTAAAATTGCTGTCTTTCAGTCCCGAGGAAACGAAGCAAGGACAAGGAAAATATAAAATGCATATAGCAAAATTAACCCGGTGCTTATGTGAGTCAATTTAAATGCTATTTAAACAGGTGTTTACTCCTGTGGCATCTGTTCCTCCCGTGTTTTACCTGCACATGCCGGTGTTTCTAAAGGAATTCGAAAAGCTAAATGCGATGGCTGATTATTGCATTGGGCTATTATGAAAATGACTGCAATTCAGTTCACTTCAGTGGTTCACAAATGTATCTGGGTCAAACAGCAGGGCTCCATACATTAAAGAAGAAGACAAAACATGTCACTCTTCTGTGTCGCACCTGCAGTCAATCCCCCACAAAACATTGCTGGACTCATTAAGGTCTGAAATGATTGTAGCTTTGAGTAACTCCAGATTAAAAATAAAGATGTAAGCCGTCTTGTTGTGTTGTTAACTTGCAGGAAGTCAAAAATGAATTCCCCAGCAAGTGAGCAGCATTTAAAGTTGTTCACATATATTGACTGCGTTGTGCAGTCACTTTGATGATTGCAGGTGCAGTTAGCATGACCCACAGAACTAATTATGCTCTTAAACTGGAATAGTTCACATATGAGCAGATGGGTTTTTAGCAGTTTCTTTGCTGTGTTCCTTGTCAAGGTCCAGCAGAATTGGAAGCTCTTGGGGACAAGAGGAGGAGGGCGGAGGTAACGACGCTCCGGCCGAGGTGCAGGTCGATTCCAGCCAACTTCCTCTGGTGGAGGGCCCGGACGGGGAGCAGGTTTTCCGCTTTTATTGGTTGGATGCTTTCGAAGACCCATACAACCAACCAGGTGGGTCCCATTTTCACCCACTGTGAGGATAAAATACAATGCGGTTACGTTTACTGTTTTTAAAAAATCATGGGCAGGTTTGTAGAGCTCACCCTGATATGTGAATTTAAATGAAAGGTGTGGTGTACCTGTTTGGAAAAGTGTGGATTGAGTCTGCAAAGTCTCATGTCAGCTGCTGTGTTAGCATCAAGAACATTGAGCGGACCATGTACCTCCTACCTCGCGAATATGTAAGTTTCATCTGTCGAAAAATGAATTACCTGTGAAAGTAGAAAGCTATGTGATTGTGTTGTTTAACTATGATTGAGTTAAGTAGTATTTATATTTGTTTTCCACTACACAATATTAGCAATTGAATATATGGAACTATATTTGTTGGAATCTAAAAAGTGAGATGTAAGTTTTATACAGAAATATCTACTGATTAAAAGTCTAATTAGTGTTTGTATTGCATTTAACAGAAGACAAACCCCAGGACCGGGGAGGTGTCCAACACTCCAGTAGGGATGATGGATGTGTACCAAGAGTTCAACGAGCTCTCTGAGAAGTTTAAGATCATGAAGTTCAAGTCCAAGGTCTGATTAGACTGTAAAGTGTGAATGTAGTCATGTTTTTAGCTTGTGTTTGATTTCTTTTTCTTGTCCTACAGAAAGTGGAGAAGAACTATGCGTTTGAAATTCCTGACGTGCCCACTCAGTGCGAGTACCTGGAAGTCAGATATTCTGTGAGCAGACTTGTATATATGCTATTCCCTCATTGTCCTCGCTTTATCCAGCTCTTTATGTTTAGATAAGCTTTAATCCTTTGGGAAATATTGTTTCGCAGGCTGAGTTCCCCTCGCTGCCTTCTGACCTCAAGGGGGCGACCTTTTCCCACATTTTTGGAACCAACACATCCAGTCTGGAGCACTTTCTCCTCAGCAGGAAGATTAAAGGCCCTTGCTGGTTGGATATCAAGTCACCACGTGAGTAGGAGATGTAGACTTTTACAAAGTTTAACTTTATCTGTTGGAATTTTGCAAAAAAATTCAGATGACATGTTAAACTTAGTCTCTAAACTTCACTGTGTCAATGTTAGAGCTAATGAACCAGCCGGTCAGCTGGTGTAAGGTGGAGGCGCTCTCTCTGAGGAGTGATTTAATCACAGTCGTCAAAGATCTCCCACCTCCACCACTCACTGTCATGTCCATCAGTCTCAAGACTGTCCAGAACCCTAAAACTCACCAAAATGAGGTCAGAACACACACGATCAAATATCCTGCCGGATACTGCGATTTTATGCTTTTTGCAAACAGACTGAAATACTAAAGAAGTGAGGACTCAATGCAGTCATTTTCCCCTGCAGATTGTGTCTCTAGCTGCGCTTATACACTATCGCTTCCACATGGATAAAGCTCCTCCTCAGCCTCCGTACCAGACTCATTTCTGCGGTGAGTTTTTTCATGGCGTTGCACATGAGAATGTAGTCTTTGTATGCATAGTTATTTATTGCTGTTTGTTTTAACAATCCCCAGCCTTAACGTGTAAAACAAAATGTCATTTAAGAAGTTAAACCAAAGACTAAATGAGTGGGCTTGTCATTTTATTATTTGTCTTCTCAGTTATCAGTAGACCAGCTGACTGCATCTTTCCTTATGATTTCAACGAGGCTGTGAGAAAGAAGGTGAGCGCGTATCCAGATGTAAACCTCAGCGTGTTTGCACTCATTCATAAACTGCAGCTTTAAACATGCATACTAACGTTTAGTGCACAAATCTGGGATTCATCATCTTCTGGATGTTGTCCATACTCTGCCTGTGGGACATTCCTGTCTATTTTTCCTCTGTTAATATACAGTACAGGTCACTTCGGACGAATATTTGCACAACGGGGTGCAACATGCTTCTTTTTTGTCCAGCATGTTAACAGTTTTCCTTTTGTTAATCACCATGTTCATTGGACACTTACGGATGTCTTAGTTGATTTTGACAATTCATATTAGCAAGCATTGGAGTTCCTCTTGTTTTTGCTCCATTCATCATACTGGACTTTTACTAGAACAAGCTTCACCTTCTGCTGTGCCAGTTATTTGTTTTAATTTTTTATTTTTCTATCGATGGTCTGTTATCAGTAGCGCATCGCTGCTATTGAGCGCGTTTAGGAAATTTCATTCTGCACAATACAGGGAACAGCTGTGACTGGCAAACACAAGCGTATCCGTGGTTATTTAGGGAGCGCTTGATTTGCTTTTTGTTTTATTGGTGTAGCACGCATTTCCAGTATCACTCATTGAAGTCTGGGAAGCCAAAATAGTGAATGTGATTAAAATTCAGTTAAGTTTGCTGCTTTACATTGAACTTGAATAGAAGAAGCAGGGTGCTGTATTTTAGTGAAGACACTGACGGTGTGACTCGCTCTGTTAGAATGGGAAGGTGGAGATCGCTTCTACAGAGAGGACCCTGCTCGGCTTCTTCCTGGCCAAGATGCACAAGATTGACCCTGATGTGCTGGTGGTGAGTAGGAGACGTTGAGATTGTGATAATGATTTTTAATTGGGTTTAAAGTTATATTGTTTTGTCTCTGGCTAAAAACACTGTACATGTTTGTTTTCTGTAGGGTCATGACATCTTTGGATTTGACTTGGAAGTTCTTCTCCAGCGCATCAATGTGTGTAAGGTTCCCCATTGGTCAAAAATTGGACGCCTCAGGAGGTCCAATATGCCCAAATTAGGGGTAAGGAAACAAATTTGCTGAGAATGTTTTCTTTGAACGTACTTGAAAGGAGAAAAAAAAGAAGCTTTATGTTCTGTCGTGCTGGTGCTTTTGAATCCGCAGGGTCGTAGTGCCTTTGCAGAGAAGAACGCCACCTGTGGCCGTCTGGTTTGTGACGTGGAGATCTCAGCCAAAGAGCTGATTCGCTGTAAAAGTTATCATTTGACTGAACTCACTGCTCAGGTGCTGAAGACGGAAAGAATCACAGTCCCACAGGAAGACATTAAAAACCTCTACAGGTAAATACATGTAAAGGGTAATTTCACCAAAAACACAGGATAAGAAGTACAAGTCATTTCTTTTGTATTATTCATCTATAAAGTTTCTACATGTTATTTCTTCGCTCACAAATCAATGTGGGAAATAATATGTGTACATTAATATATATATATATGAATATGTGTGTCAGTGACTCTCCTCACCTCCTGTACCTGTTGGAGTTGACATGGACAGACGCCAAGTTGATCCTCCTGATCATGTGTGAGCTCAACGTGCTGCCACTCGCCCTGCAGATCACCAGTATTGCTGGAAACGTCATGGTAATGCCGACAATGCTGCTCTTTCTTTAACATAATTTAACATGCACAATGATCTTATAGTTTGGCTGAGCCACAAAACTCAATTTGACAGTTTGCAGCATACCAGAGTATTAACAGTCAATTAGTCACATACTTATAATTATTTATTTATTTTATTTATTTATATTGCACATTTAATTATAACAGGAACATTGACCAAAGTGCTGTACAAGAATACAAAATACCTATTAAAATAACCTATAATATTGATACCAAACATCAAATATGAATTAACAAAAAACTCTCATGCTGTATTAAAAGCCAGTAAATAAAAATGTTTTTTAAGATAAGATTGAAAAAGATTGACAGCAGGAGCCTGTCTGATGTGTAGGGGTAAATTAATCCACAGCTTAGGCGCTACGACTGCAAATGCTCAATCGCCTCTGTGAACCAGCCTCGACCTCGGTATGGCTAAAAGCAAAAGACCCCTTGATCTAAGAGACCTAAAGGGTGCATAAGGCTGCAAGAGGTCAGACAAATACCTGGGAGCCTGTCCATTCAGGGCTTTGTAAGTCAACAATAAAAATTTTTTAAAGTAATTCTGAAGTGGTGAGGGAGCCAATGAAGAGAGGCAAGCACCGGGGAAATATGTTCACATCTTTTAGTACGTGTCAGAAGATGAGCTGCAGCATTCTGGACCAACTGCAGTCTTGTCAGGCAGGTCTGGCTAACTCCAGCGGAGTTGCATTAGTGCAGCTGGGATGTAATAAAAGCATGAATCGCCAAAAAATGATCTCACCGTAGATAACAGCCTCAGTTTGAAGAAAGACCACTGTACAACTGAGCTAATCTGTTTTTCAAAGGTGAAATTGCTGTCAAATATAACCCCAATATTTTTGGCATGCAATTTAATAAAAGGCTACAGACTGTGCAGGTTAAAATGGGAGGTGCTGGAATTGCCACTTGGTCCAACAATTATCACTTCTGTTTTGTTCTTATTGAAGTTAAGGAAGTTTGAGGCCAACCGGGATTTAACTTCACCGAGACACTGAAGTGAGGGTTCTAGTAATGCAGTCTCTCTCAGCTGATCAAGAAAAGCATAACAAGTCTAAGCCACAATAGCAATATCATCATCTGACATTTTGGTTTTAGGTTTCTCACACAAGTTTCCACACTTATTGTTTATTCCTTGGACTCCATATTTTTAAAAGTGATGCAATTCAGCCAATTTCCAAAAAGATGATTCTGTTCATCTTCAGTTTCAGCTGACTGCAGGTTTCTCCAACCTTATAAACAATGCGTTTGCATAATGAATGAACCCAGCACCACTGATAGAAGACCTCAAGACTGATCTGTAGAAGTCACTTGGATGAGTGTCGAAGCGTTTCTCCCACTGAAAACACCGTCAAGATAAACAATCAACTTTTTTGAGATTTCCTTACCTATACAATCGAACGTGCATCAAGACAAATGCAGATAATTATTTAGCAAGCAAACAGAGGAGCTGAAGGTGACGCTGGCTACTGAAGTGGGTTATGGGAACAGCCACAGTCCGTATCGTTATGTGTCTGCATGGCGTTGATGTCAGGGTTGTGGGTAAGATGTTGATATTTTTATGCTGGATTGTCATGTGCTTTCTGTATCTTGGTATTTTCTGCAAAGGCAACAGGTGAGATGTTGAAAGCAGCTTTATTCAAACAGAGTGCTCATTTCAAATAGCATAAAATTTAATTGTAGGGTCGTATTTTAAAGCAGTTGGTTTCAGGAGCTGCAGTTTTACATATTTGTGTTGGAAATGATAACTGTTTCACTGAGTTTTCAATTAATTCATTTTTTACGAGTTTCTTGATCTCATAAATTTAGCATCTAGTACCAATAACAGAATCACATGACCTTTGGTATCCAGCTTGATTCAGCTAAAATAGCAAACATGTATTTCAGGGCGATCACACCGTAGTCTTTCTGCCTTTCTGATTATTGAGTTGGGGCAGATTTACAGAGACTATAGACCAACTGATTTTTTGCTTTTTTTTTTTTTTTTAACAGAGATTAAAAATATGACATTTGAATTTATCGGCTAATATATAATTTTTTTTTTCCTTTTGTCTTTTGGACACACAATACAGTAAACAGACTTCCCACTCCCAACATTTGTTATTTTTACTTGTTTATTTACTCATTTCCGTTCTACTCAGCTCTGCTTGGATCAGCTCTTTGGTCCAAATGTGTGTGTTTCCAACAGGGAAGTTGCAGTGTGCCCTCTGGTGGGCAGATTATACAATGTCAGCACTCGTAACATGGGTTGACGGGTTTTTCTCCAATCTTTTATCTACTTTTTAAAATTTTTATAATGCTGATATCAGTAAAAACAACTAAAAATGCTGTCACAATCCACTCACACTTGTCTGACAAAGACGGTTTTACTTCACAAAACTATTATTCTTTCAAACTTCTGCCTTCATTCATTCATGTTTTTAACCGACTTGTTTCAAGTCCAAACTAACATGTTTTCCCATTTTCTTTGAGACAAAAAAAAAAATCCTTTTTTGACATCTTGTTCTGGAAGCTCTAATTGCCGTATGTGACAGAAAATGTCCTGGAAAATGAGTTTTTCCTCCCTGCTTTGTCTCTGCAGTCTCGTACTCTGATGGGAGGCCGCTCTGAGAGGAACGAGTTCCTGCTGCTTCATGCCTTCCACGAGAAAGACTACATCGTCCCTGACAAACCTTCTTTCAAAAAAGCACAGCTCGAGACGGTGAAGATGCAGCCAAATAACACACGCAGCTGAATTTTTGTTTTTTCCAAATTAGTTAATTGAAATAAAGCTCCTTCTTTTTTTTTTTCCAGGCTGAAGGCGAAGATGATGTGGATGCAGGCAAAGGCAAGAGGAAGAAGAAGGCAGCCTATGCTGGAGGTTTGGTGCTGGATCCTAAAGTTGGTAAGCACTGGGCATGTCTAAAAAATGTATTTACTCACCTTGTTTTTTTTCATGTTTACGCAATTATTTTAACTCTCTTCTTCTCATTTTTAGGTTTCTATGATAAGTTTGTGCTGCTGCTTGACTTCAACAGTCTGTATCCTTCAATCATCCAAGAGTTCAACATCTGCTTCACCACCGTGCAGAGGGAGGCTCAGAACTCCCAGAAGAAGAAAGAGGTAGTGTTCAAAAACTGTTCACAAGTTGTGTTTATAGGTTGAGCCTGTTGTCCAGCTACGTTAATGCTAAATGCTTCGGATTCAAGATTCAATTCATTTACACACTTTTGACTTGTGTTTTCATGGCAACAGGTGGATGACCCAGAGGAAATTCCCGAGATTCCAGATCCTAACCTAGAAATGGGAATCCTGCCCAAGGAAATCAGGAAGCTGGTTGAACGGCGTAAGCAGGTCAAAGGGCTCATGAAACAGCAAGACATCAACCCAGATCTCTACCTGCAGGTACACACGTGAACACACACTAGCGGTAGGGGTGGTATTTGTGAGCTGGTGTCAGAATAGAACAGAGAAGCTTTATTGTTATTGCATGTGACGTCTTTCGTGAATGAAAAGTCTTTTTTCCATTGGTACCTACTCGGATCGACTCACCACGGTTTTCCATTAGGTCATAGTACCTGGTACCCCCTGCTCTGACAAGGGCTCCAAAGCGATCCGAGCAGGTACTGAAATGTGACGTCATCAGACGTCATCAGACTTGTAAACAAGACGCCACTGATCAGCCAATCAGTGGCGTCTTGTTTACGAAATTCAAAACCACTCCAGCAACGAGGGAAATGGCTACAAGAAACAACGCCGTGGTCCCCAAGTCGGACGAAAAGTCACAGACGGAGCAGCAGGTTTATCGTCGCCTCGATGTCCACCTTTGTTATAGCGTTCGTGTCGCATACTAATTACGTCACGGGATGCTCAGACGTGTTGCTATAACAACAACCAAGCACATTGGGTGGTATTCAATTGTTATGCAAAACCAGACTATCCGAGTCAAGCCCTGGCGAGTCGATCCGAGTAGGTACTAATGGAAAGACGGCTAAAGTTGCACACATACTCAATAAATGAAAAACAATATGTAATAATATGTAAAAATCAGTGCAGTGTATGAAACAGTGTACCTAAGAAATGGCAGAAACTTAGATGAGACTGATTGAAAGCGCCACACCATATCATATCGGATTAATTAAATCTGTTGTTGAATATTTTGCTGCGCTGCACTCATTTTAGCCGGTTTTCCCATTGGAATATTTTTGTCCCTCAGTACGACATCCGTCAGAAGGCTCTGAAGCTGACTGCTAACAGTATGTACGGTTGCCTGGGATTCAGCTACAGCCGCTTTTACGCCAAGCCACTTGCTGCCCTGGTTACACACAAGGGTAGGGAGGTGAGTACACAAACACACTGCTGACTTTGTAGGCTATGTGGACCTCGAGCGTTTTAGCTGTAAAGCTTTGTTTTTAGAGCAGTATCTGGATCTATAAAAGGCACCAAATACACTGAGACTGATTAAATACAAGTTTATCCTACTTTCTTTTGAAAAGTGTAAAGAACAGTCCAACGTTCATCCACAAGAGGGCACTGCTACATTATATTCAGCACTGTGCAACACTCCTTACTCTGGCCTATTTTCTTTGACTTGTCATTTGTTTTCTGCTTTATCCTGACTCACATTTGTTTCTACAAATGTCTTTGTTTCTCCCACACCCTGTGCCCTTTTCTGTCTCCCAAATATGATTACATCTTCAATTTCATTTAGTCAGAATAAGAGACTTTCCTTATTTTCGGTGATATCAGTGACACTATGCAAGTATTTTCCAATAACAGAATGCCACGGGCACTCTTGAATCTAACGCTCTCCATTTAAAGTCTCATTGTGTAAGCACTTCTTTCAACACACAAATGGAATGACAGTGGCATGCACGCTCAATAAATTGGTGCAAAGCAGCATGTGTACTGCATGACATAAACAGCTAAAGCTGGTATTGTAACTGAACACCCCACAGACACACACACGAGCACACACACACTCACACTCTCCCACTATGTCAGTGGTAGTACTCATGTTCATTTAATGAGCTCTAACAGTACAAGTCCTCAGCAGAGGCATCAGGCTTTGCCTCAGGGGAGTCCTTCATTAAGATCCCCTTACACACTCATTGTGCTCCCTAATAGAGGGCAGGGCAGTAACTCACTGTGCGTGTTTGTTATTTTGTCAGTCCGTTTGGGCCTCCAGTCATGCTTGTTGTTCAGCTGACAGAGCTACATTGTTAAAGTTGTGTATTGGATTTGCTGCTGCAGGTGGGAGTTTCTGTCCCTCAACACTTCACCGCTTATATCTTGTAGTTCGTATTTATCAACAGCCTGAGGTAGATGGGTTCATTTACATTTGTACCTCCTGCTTGCTTTACATAATCCGGGAAGCATCACCATTCTCGTGTAAGGAGTAGACTAGATTTCCATTATTCGAAGGCTTTGCTCTTGCCCGTGTTGCTAGATTTAGAAGCCCTAATTTAATCATGTGGAATAGACTTACAGCTAGCAGCTATTTTCACAACCTTTCTTGTTGATTTATTTGTTGTATAAAAACTGAAACCTCAAAGTTATTTATCACAGGAGGGCCAGAAATCCAAATTTAGTTGGAGAAAATGCTGAACACAGATGTCACCATTAGTGAGTCACATTAAGATAGTTATATGCTACACCTTCAAGCTGATCACTCTGCTGGTGCCTGGAAGTAAGAAGGTTTCACTAGAACAGATTAGATTGGGTACATTGGACATCAGTATCTGTATTCTCAATGTCCCTGAAGCAAAAGGGAGTTTGCATCATACATAATGGGATTATACATATCTAACCAAGGCTGTATTAGAAACCTGTGAAGCATAAGTGGTGTAACAGTAAAATGATGCAGCTGGATCTCTTTTGTAATGGTGGGACTGGAAGGATGTGAAATTGTCCTTGCTTTTGAAAAATTCTAACAACAACTGATGTGTATATAAAATATGTTTTGTTTTTTGTGCTTCATGAACAAAACATTTTCATCATGTCCGCACAGAAATGGAGCATTTTTGTTGCCCATTATCCATAGCATGCTAACAGGATTACCATTAAGAGCTGAGGAGACATCATCCCAATCTATATCTGAATCTGGGACTCCTTTGCCCCCATATGGAGCTCACACTGACGGTGGCGAGTCCTTGTTACGGTCAGTATAAAAGATGGAGGTAGCTACAGCGATTGGTTTCTGAAGCCTTGAAGAGTGTTTTCATTTCAAATGCAGGTTTATTTTTATTTTTGTTTTTTATCCTGAAGCTATGCCCATATTTAATACTGTTTGTGGTACTTTGTGTGGATGGCTGTATCCTCAGTGTTGAGAAGAGGGCAGGGTGTAGATTAGGTTTGGTCGACTGACCCGTTTGCCACGGAATATCGAACCGTCCTCGAGGCCTGGTGCGAGCCATGCGCGTCTGCCCCAGGCTTCTTCCACCCGTCCTATCAAAATAAAGCATAAAAACATAAATTACTGTTATTGAAGAGTCGCTTGGTTACCTGATTTTTACCTGATTATCTGTTGCAGTTACTCCTCAATGAAATGATTATTCCTTAATTAGTATTATTAATAATTATTACTCTAATTAGTATGTTCAGCGGTAAATGGACTTGTTCTTATGTAGCGCTTTTCTACTCTACTCAAAGCGTTTTATATAACACGCCTCAGTCACCCCAGCACTTTTTTCTTCCTAAGTGGTGCTTTCTAACATTCACATTTTCATGAACGCATCAGAGGAGCAACTTGAGGTTCTGTATCTTACTTAGACATGCAGACGGGAGCAGCCAGGCATTGAACGGCCCACCTTTCAGTTAGTAAAGTCCCTACATCCTGAGCTACAGCCACCCAAGTATGAAGTCAACCTCCAAGCATCACAATGTGACACAAATACATTTGCCAGGATCAAATACCTTACTACTCTACAGTTATCCTTACACAGTTGCTGAACATTATAAGCCTTTATACAGAAGGTTATACTGGTGTTATGTCTCATTAGACTGCATTGGGTTTATCAAGGTGTACTTAATAATGTGTCAGCTGAGTGTTTATACTAATAGTGATTCAGATGCTTTGCAGGTTTGTTGGAAACTAAAATTTCCTCCAAAGTTTTCTAAAACTTCTCAAGTTGTCCTGTGTGGCGAGGAGGCTGTAAGCAAATTGGATGTAGGACTTCAGTACACTACAGAGTGATGTGCGTCAAAAAGGTCATCAGTCAGTGTGCGGTGTACACACACGTACCTCAGCTTGCTGATGAAGCAGGAGATCCCACTTCACACAATCTTAGTGTTTTGTTTACTTTGTATCTATGATCCTACCACAGCTCTATTTATATAGCAGCTTGTGTGTTTGGAGAGCGCGTGGCTTCAGCACCAGCCTGCTGATAATAAGGCAACATGCTGTGGAGGATATTCTTTGAAATTTACTTTTTGTCAGTTTTACTTGTATATAAGTGTGTGTGTGTATAAATCTTATAGCATCTAAAATAGGATTTTTGTAGGACAGTTTTTCCAGCACTTGAGCATCGTATGCTCGTCAAGGAAAAGCAGCAGATCAGCAGTAGTACGAACCAAATGTGTCTGTTTTACTGAATTGTACAGAGTCCTAAAGTTAACAGGAGGCAAGCCGAGTAGTTCTCGGTAGTTTCCGACTGCAGCGAGCCAGAAAAGCCAGCTGGCATTTATAACTGGGTTTCTAGTGTATTTGTGGGCATTGCCATTTGCACTCCCACCCCCATTTTAATCGTCACATTTGCACTCCACTTTCATCTCATGATTTAGGAGGCTTTTTATTTTTGTAATTGTAACATGTACACTGATCACCACTCTGTCCACAGTGTAAATCCACCCTGCTCTCGCGCCCCTGCGTGCGTTCCCTTCATCTGTTTGGATGAGTGTCCAGAGTGAATGTTCATGTGTTCTCTGTATTTATTGATTGGCCCGGCTCTCATCTTTCTCTCGCTCTCGTTTTAAAATGAGGCCTAACCCCCCAGTGTGGCCGGATGGCTCAGGCTGCAGGCCACGGCAGTGTCTCAGCCCTGGGCTTAGATGGGGGTTGACAGACCCTTGGCTGTGGACCTTCTGATCAAATTTGCCAACTTAAGAGGGGAAAGCCCCCCACTTACATCTCCTCCTGATTCTTGTGCGTCTTCCTTGGGTATGTCTTCTATCGTGTGTGTGTGTGTGTGTGTGTGTGTGTGTGTGTGTGTGTGCGCGCGCGCGCGCGCGCCCGCGCCCGCATGTGTTACTACCCATCTGTGTGTGCGTGCACAAGTGCTACTGGCCGAACTCTGCCCTTTGTCGGGACCATTTGTTGTGGCCCTGTTCTGTCCTGGTATGTGTGGGTATTAAAGGGGGGGATGATGGGTATTAAGAGGAAGGTGAAGGTTTAGGATTACACAGTCAAGGGTCCTCCACAGATTGATGTCCCCCTCACTCCCTCAGCGTTATTTTGGGTTCTTTTGTATGTTCGCCAGAGAGCATTTGGGTGCAGAGAAATGGTTGTATGACACAGACAGACAGCTTGCACACATGTGATTATTTCGTTTTTAATTTTATTTATTTATTTTTTGTTAATGGGTTGATAAATGCATCTGTCACACCAGAAAGATTTTTTTTTTGGCCACAGGCTGCTGGATCTCCGAATTCATCCACTAAATGAGGAGAATTTAATTTGGGGGGGGAAGGTTTCCGCAAACCTGCTTAGGGATGATGAATCAGCTGCAGGCTTAGAACAACTACATGATTTTTCCGTCGTTGACCTGTGTTATTGTTAATGTTTCTAGTCACTTGAAATGGCAAAGAGTCTGTACTTGAATTTAATTTGTGTTTATGAAATCAGAAGCTGGCTTTTTAAAATTCTCAATTGTTTAGTTTGGCCTGCTTCTCTTGCATGATGGTGTGTTTACGTCGTCCTAATCGAGTGATGTTCACAGCGCAGGCCGAGGGAAGCTGCTTATTGTTGCGGATCGCAGATTGGTTTGACCTTTGACCCTTTTGCCTGCAAATCTGACAACCATTAGCAGGTGTGTGTCTCTCCGGATGGAGGGTGACTCCTAAAAGCCATTCTGCTGTAATTGAGTCTCTGTCCTTGTGTTTAAAAACAGCCTGACAGGAGCTCGTAGTTGACATTATTGGCTGGCATGCAGAGTGAAGATAGAAGCTGGCTTCTGTAACGGAGCTGAGGGTGCAGAGAGGTCAGAGTTTGGTTTAGGTTAAACCCTCTCCCGTACGTACGTGTGTGCAAGGGTGCATGTGCTCGTAATGAAGTCTAAGTAAATATTGTTGCCCCTGGTGTCCCTTGTTCTGCTTCTGTATCATCTCTCTTGTCTCAAGAAT